AGCAGCTGACCACAGATTTTTGCCCAGCCCTCCTTCCCTCACTACTATTTATCCCAACTGAAACATTTCTTGTAATGCACAGTAGCATTGCTTGAGAAGGACAAACTTAACAAAGGAAGTGTTGGGTTTTTTCCCAAAATAAATTTCCACAATGGAAATCGTGTGGGCTTCAATAACTGCTCTGCCTTCTTTTTATGAGCAGAAAAAACACAGTTCTGAACTGTGCAATAAAACCTGACAGCTTGAACACAGCCATGAAATAAATAAAAAAATAAATAAAACCCCAAACCCAATAGCATGAATAATAATGAAAGGGCAGAAACAAGAAAATAATTCAACAGATGTGTGACATTTTTGTTCTTCATTGTGGATCAGTTATTCTTGTTAATTATATCACCTATTCTTCCCTTTTATTGATAATTACATGAAGCAGATGGATAACAGAATGCTCCCAGATGGTGAGAAAGCAAACAAGTTTATAAATTGTTTATTTATGAAGAAATCATTAGAAATTATTTAATTATCTATAGCTTTCTACTCCACCAATAATTACATGCACCATAAAGGCCGGCAGCACCGTATAAGATACTCAGTATTCTGTTGTAACCAACTGTTTTTTAACGTAACACGACCAAAATGACTGACAGATGTGCAAAACGCAATAATAATCTAATCTGTTTTAACACTGTGGGAATTAAGACTTTGAATCTTTGGATCTTCTGCCAGTTGGCACTTCAGCACCACTCGCAGATTCGAAATCCAGAAATCAGAGATTTCCTTTTGATTTGGAACAGCTGTAGGAAGCGTTTGATCTAAAGAGCAGGCAGGAGCTTTTTCAGGTCCATGTCCTGAAACCCTAGAGCATGGCAGATGCAAGGCCTGGTGTGATTCTGAGCTCCTGGGTGGAACCTCCAACACGGGCACCCTGAAGCCTGGGGTCTTCCGGGACTAGCTGCAAATCAAGATCATTAGCACCTGTGCCATTGCAGAGGGCTGCACTGGGAGGCAGGGGAATTTAATGCCTCCCCCTCCTCACCTTCTCAGTCAATCCTTACCCAATTTAGCCAAATCTCCTCAGTAGAGCAATGAGAGATAAGTTTTGTAGGAACAGACACACAAAATCAGTAGCAAAATATATTTGCCATCTCAAGGAGTGAGGTAAACACTCTGTCATTAGTGGCTGCTACAGAAAGATACTACAGGGTCTACAATAACCTGCAGCCCTTTAGGATATGGAGAAGCCCAGCTTGGGATGTGACAGGTCTTCTGGTGCAGAGATGAAGGATTACAGAGTTGTGGTTTTAAGAGAGAGAGAGGGATAAAAACGCGTAGTTCCCTTAGAACCTGTGCAAAACTTTAACTAAAAGGCTGGGCAACAGAGAGGAGGAACAGGTAAGAGTTCCTAAACTCTCTCTGAGCAATAAGCAGAGAGGCAGCACAAATCAAACGCCTGGCTCAAATTAGAAACAAGATTGAACCAAAGGAGATGTCTTGAGGACATGAAGAGAACAGGGTGGCTGGGAAACTGCAGCTGAACAGTCACTCCGGTAATGGTAAGTTGTGTTTTCACGTAATAAACTTCTGGATTTCAAAAGTAAAAACCTTTCTACCTTACCTCTAGCTCTCTCAGAGAAAGCAGCATGGCACTTACATTTTCTTCATTTTTCCAGACACCGCAGCAGAACAGAGAGATTTGACAGAGGGACAAAGAGAACAAGCGATCACAGACTTAGCTTCTGGAGCTCATCTGTCTCTCACGATACATCCAGAGCTGCAGGAAAACTGCCTCTCTGGCAGAGCAGAGATCCATCTGCACTGGCAATGCACGGGAATTAGCTGAGGACAAAGCTTTCCTGATTTTCTGCTTCTGGCTTTGGAGGAAGGAAATGGGTAAGAGCCCTTGTGGGTCCTGGTTGAATTATCTGTACCAGGTCAATATTTATGAGCGAATCTCCTCAGGCTCACAAGCAGGCTGGAACATATGAAGAGATACACAAACTGATTGAGCCCCAGGGCTCCCTGTGTGCCACTAATGGCTACAGATACATATATGCACAAACCAAGGGCTGTGCTCACACACTGAACGGCTGAGCTGCTGAGCCTCAAGCTGCTACTGGCAAAAAATAAGTTTTGCAGCAAGAAAAGGCTGGGACAAGAGGAAGGCAGCTGAAAAAAGCAGTAGGTGAGAAGCACATGTTGATGGCTAGATAGCAGGGAGCATCTTGTGGGGATCAAAGCAAGAATTTCATTACAGTTACTCCATTCAGAAGCGTTAAATAAGCAAGTAATTAAGTAGGTCAGGCAGTCTCAAATGAGAATTTACTTGTATTTACAATCTTTGTATTGTAATTTATGTGAAAAAAATCCTGCCATCGTTACAGCTATCCAAAACAAGAATTACAGTGATAACCCATCCTCCAAGCTTTCAGGAACAAAGCGGGCATCACAACGTTGTTTTTCCATTTCCCTTTTCCTAGCCTGCTAGTATCTTCTGCGACCAAACAGTGTCTCACCATGTCTCACAGTACTGTGTAAGGTGACAATTCGCAGCCTTTCCATTTTGCAGAGTTATCGAATTTAACTTCTTGATGTGGTATTTTGCTCCCTGCCACACAGACTGAGTCCTTCCGTTTACAGTGCGTCTGAGCAGGCCTTTTGATCACTGCAGAAAGGTAGGAGTATAATAACAATGCGCCTACTGAAATGTGATCAGGTTCATTTTTATAAAATACGCCTCGTTTTATTTGCAACTTAGCTGCACGATTTTGCAGGGAAGTGCGAGATTATCCTCGAGGATCAATCTTCCTTTCTGAATTAGAATAGAGAGAGGGCAAATGCCTTATGCCTGGCCACTACCTGAGCGAACAAAACATCCAAGGTTTAAAAGCAGCACCTGCTGCTTATTTTTATGGGTACATTCAGTGCCTTATGGTAGGTTACCTCCTAAGTTATAAAGCTTTCCCAGCATACAGTGGCCAAAGGTCACTTCATTCACTCCACAGAAGAGGCAATTTAGCTTTACATGGTTTCAAGTTCTTGGTGTTTCAGAAAACTAGAGGCAGCAGTAGCAGAGTAGCTTTATCCTCGGGTTACCACCCAGGGATCAACCCCAGATATCAGCTGTGACAGAACACAGGCTGTCAAAAATCTATAATTAATGCCAGTGGCTAAGCATGAATACTTACACAGTGGCTAGACTGCATTATTTTTTTCAGTAAAACTTCTCCAGTGAAAATCTCACACGCTTTATTAAATAGAAATTCATTTAACTTTTGAGATTTTAAACAATTATCTCACTACCTATAAGTCTCACAAACCCTCAAGAAGAACCTGGCAGCAGAGTAGGCAACAGATGTGCAAATCTCTCAAACACAGCAAGAATCAAGTGATTCTCCAGCTCCAGCAAAAACACTAAGATGAGCTCTTCTAGGGAAGAGAACACGTAATTTTGAAGATAAAATAGGAAGTAGTTGTAAGAAAAGCATCAGTTTATTCCACAGAGCAGAGGCAGGCAGGGATGTGCGTGTGGAGGAAATGATGTTCAATAAAGTCAAACTCAGCCCAATGGCCTCAGCCATGTTCCAAATTTTGCTTTGCCAACTGCTGCCTAATGAAGAGTTTTGGATGCCAAAAATCACTAACTGTGAAAAGGAGAGCACTAAAAATATTATATGGGAGTTCGCCTCAGCCAACTGGAAGTTAGTTGACAGACATAAAGCTCCCTAATTATGTTTCTTTAGGCAATTACAGCTACCTACTGAGAGCATTGTTCACCGATGGTGTTTTTCCTAATATTTCAGCTTCGCTCATTACTCTTGTGAGGAAACATCTTCACATCAAATTTTAGTTACTGCAAAATGTAAGACAGAATATTTAACAAAAGAAATAGACTTTTAGAACCTTTGGATTGCAGGAGTGCTACGCAAATAAGAACCGTTTCATAACTAAAACAATCTTTCCTTTTGCTGTTAAATCACTCCTGGTATTTTGAAGTGTTCTTTAAGGCTATCTAGCACATGGAAGAAACCCTACTTTGGACTGAAAAACAAAATTTACTTAAGCAATTTCTACAGAAATAGTCAGAAGCGTGACACTGTATTTTTCCTATTTGGAGAGCATAACACCTTGATAAACTTACCAGTAAGATGGGCTGAACAGCAAGCTGGAACACTCAAAATGCATTGGGAGTGTGAAAGCAACGTAATGAAAAAAATACCGTTAAAACATGAACGTTTAGCCCCTAAATGCTACAGCTCAGTGATGGCTGTTCGTGACGCATTTGAAATTCAAGCTTAGCACCGGCGATGGCTGGGTTGTAAGGGTATGGCCACCACCTTCAGTGTAATTAAGGAGTAACCCATCAACAACACGCTGATGGTAATGCCACCCCATCTGCCAGCGCCTGCACTCGCTGGCACCGCGCCTCCTGCCTGCTGCCGCTTCTGTTACCCACCTGATCCTTGGAGACCTGCTCCGACGGAGCGTTTCTGCCAAGCTCTTCCAGAGGATAGACAATCTGTCGTCTCGGTCGCACGGGAACCATGTAATGAAGGGCAGATGTCAGGGAATGGGCCCGGGGATTCTGAAAGTGAGAGACAGCAATCTATATTTCAGCGGCGAGAATGTCAGGACAGCATGTCGCAGATGTCCCTTGTATGGCTTTGCAAATACAAAATTCTTAGCTCTGTTGGCTAAATCTGAGATAGAAATCAGCAAATAAACAAACATACTCAGAGCAGAGGAATGAATTGCTGATAATTCCTGACACTAATGAAGATAATTATGAGAGTAATTACATTACTATCTCTGTGGGAATGACAGATAAACAAGTGGTTTGGTTTATGGGATTTTTCAGCACAAGTATTTTCCCCAGGAGGATATTTTTCTCCATAGTGATCATGAATCAGCTTGATTTGACCTCATTAAGCTATGTTATCTGCTTACTGCTAACCTTTGCTTGTTTGGCAACGACCAGTTATGAATTTATATAGGAATTCTATACCGACTAAAATGTCAATTTCATCCAACTGATAAATGTTAATAAACTGGCAGGAACTCAAAGTGAACAAACCTCCTAATGCTAATGCGAATAGCACGCATCGGTAGGAGTAGCTGTGTTCCGTTTGTTACAGCGCGACTGGCTCTGTCGTAATTTATGACGTGAAAGGGGAAAAAAAAAATAAGTACGAGAATTATAGGAATTAGAGAATGAACATTAATGCAAACTAAATTACACTGAAGTACCATTTCATCCACAAATACTGAAAAAACTTGGTGTTACCATGTTAAGTTATCACATTTACCACTGATTAGATAAGCTGAAGTAACTTAGAGGAACTCTGAAGCCTGGGAACAGACCAAACTGGAATCATTAGCAACATTTAACTTTTCTCCTCCATCCACTGCCATTAAACTGCATTTTTGTAAGTGCCTCTTAAGAATCTGAGAGCCTAGTGCTACACGAGGACACCAGTTCCTCAAGAAAACACTTAATAAAGTCCCACCAAAGTGCACAGGAAAGAACATCCTTCTGAAAATGTACCCGTGCCTAAGCCGTCGCAATTCCCAAGTTACCCAACGGTGGCAATTTTAAAAACACCCAAGTGGCCAAGGGCAGAATTCATCTCGGTCACCATGTAAACGCTAGGTGCCTGATGCAGCCGCCCGCGCAGACACCCCCAGAGTTAGCGCCGAGCACCCCAGAGGGCAATTCTTTCTGGCCAGCGACTGGCAGCCGTGACCGAGGGATGAACTGCTCTCTGAATACACTGCAGTCTCCGCTCCTGCCCGCGGGAGCCTCGGTGATTAGCCTGGGCCAGATCAGAGCTGCAGATGGCTACACCAACAACGAGCTGATACGTCTGAAAAATTTTACCTCGTGTTCCATTTTCTAACGTGAGGCTGACAACAAGACACATACAGAAGTGTTTTGGAAAGAATCCTTTCTTTAGCTTCCACAAATTATGTTCTTCTCGGAAATAGATTTTCTCACATGGCATTCAGTTCCTCCGGCTCTCATGTGGCACTTGCAGAGACACAAGTCATGTTTTCAGGGACCACGAGGTGCCCAGGTCCCGCTGGGTTTTGATGAAATGCAATCCAGAGTACCTAAATCACTTCTGAAGAGTTCTTATAAACCACCTGGACCTGTTTTCAGGATTGCCCCCTTGCATTTACTCATGCTACGTCACTCTCAGTGACATCGCTCCTTTTTTCTACCCCATCCTCCAATTCATCCTGAATCTAAACAAATAGTGGGACCTCTCAAAATGAATTACACAGCTGAGTGGTGGTACATGGGACAGTACACCTCAATAAGGTTCTATTCTTAAACTGTGAAGGCAGGTTAAATCATGCGAGAAGAAAAGAATGAATCATTTTCTGCAGGTCGCTAGGAAAATTCCTGTCTACAGTCATTCACAGAAGCAGAGAGAAAAAAAAAGTGAGCAAAGATGATAATATTTAATATAAGAAACACAAATAACTCTTTTCCTACCTTGCCTTCCACATACTGTGGATAAACAGGATAGTAGAGAGAAGATTTGTGGGCCAAGCGAAGAATCTCCTTTAGGAAGTGTTTTGCGTAGTGTCGGAATATAGGGTTTAAGACGAAGTGGTAAAGATGTCCATGTTCCTCGTGCTGGTGGTGATTAAAATGAATAAAATCTTCAATGTTGTAATGTGATCGTATATACTCAATATCCTGGAAAGCAAGAGTTTGGAAATCACCAGTGAGGAAACAGCTCCATTTACAGTATTTTAGCAAGTGCCAATTAGTTGCTTTCTATCTTAAATAGTTAAGAAAGCAAATCTAAAAGGACAACCACTACTGTTTGCAGTATGCATGACAAAACTGCTTATTGACTTTGGAAATTGAGGGGGAAAGTAAGTGATTATAAACATGTTTAGAGGCAGAACAGCTTTGTCCTAGAGAATCAAACAGAGGGGCAGGAGGCATACTTTCAGAATGCAGCAGCAGCTTCTTGCACATAACAAGATGATTGTTTTTTTTCATCTGTGTGTCAATTATCATCTTTGAGAAGGGAAGTAGTAGAGGCTACATAGGAAAGAGAGAAAATGTACAGAAGCAGCATTCTTTATATATACTTTGTGTTAGGTAAACATATGGTGGCAAGCATAACATTCAGCCTTTAAGGCTGAGGACTAAGCATTACAGTTTTCATCCAACACAAAAAGAGAATTTACCATTTCATCTCTAACAACAGAAATGCCAACTATCTGATCCAGAACTTCGGCTATGAAAGCCTGCACCGGGATCCCATCCTGCAAGGCAGAAACAACAACACAAGCACATCTCCCATTTCATCAGCAATCTTTCTTTTTTATCATAACTGTGAACTTCACCACAGGATCACAGTCAGAATACTTTCCTCCCAGATAACCTCAACTTAACCACTCTAATTCAAGGCATAATATTTAAACAGTGTGTATATGTATGGCTGGACTCCTGACCACGCAGAACTTGCCTGAACTGACATTTCAGGTTGGATGTAACTGTTATAGGAGTGCTATAAAGCTCAGCCATGACTTTAGTCCCAGGTTAAGTAAGTTCTGATTCTAGGAAAGAACTATCACATCAGGCTGAACACGGCCTGCTGGCACTGACTTGAGTACCTATATACTAGACAGACAGTATACTAGCTTAATGTCATAAATTCTGGATGTTTTTACCAGTATTTATCCATCCTTTTATATCTGCAACAAATACTCACTGGATCTCTGCGAGCCAGAATAAATATCTTTAAGTCATCGAATATACTTTCATTCAAGCTAAGGGTTTTAATGAGCATTTTGACACCAAGTAGGTCACTGGTCATTGTCCTTCTTACATTAAATGACCTATTAAAAAAAAGGGAAAAAAAGAGAGTAAAACTTCACTCTATGACTAAATTGCACTCTGTGCAATATATGCAGCCAGTAACATGTTAGCTACAGACAGGAATATCCTGGCACTTATCTGGCTTACACACTCTGTTATAAAACATTTTCCCACCCACTAATGACAAAAAAAAATTACTTTCCAGTGATACGGCTATAGCATCTGAGGAACTCTTATGGTGTTCACTGAAGGTATCGAGCCTTGCTGATTAAACAAGATTCACATAAGACTCAGAGAGTGTGGTTCAAGGATCTAAATTACAATTTAATTTCCAATAATTAAGTTAAAAACCCCACAATTAAAAAACTCTTGTGATTCACGTAGTATAATTTCCATTCCTGTTCTTGTTTTCAGTATATGCTATTCAGTATATGCTATTCTTCAGCCTAAGTCACAGTCACATGGAGACTGATTTTGTGGAACATGGCTGTAACAAACAGAACTAGTACTTAAAAAAAAAAAAACAACAAAAAACCCCAAACATACATACCAAATATTGGATACATTATGGGAAATTTTATAGCTCATTGATAATTTTCAACTTGGGTATTTGAGCACTCAAAAAGGATGCTAAATTACAAGCTAACCCTGAACTTCTAAGTGAGCAGCAGCTTAGTTTCCACATTTGTTACCACATTTCCACAGACGGTTAATTACGAGACCAAGCACGCGAGGAGGATGAAAGGCCAGCGATGTGCTTTACTCTGCAACCCACAAGCATGCTATCTTCCTGCTACTCTACTGAGCCCGGCACGTTTTTCTCCCCAACCACATCCAAAAGAGGCAGCCATGCCAAAAGTGAACTGCATTTTTAATATGACAAAAACTAGAATATGCAAAAAACTTGAAACCATTTTTTAAAATAAACAAACCCACCAGATGCACCATGAGTATGCCCAGGGAGGTGGTGGAGTCACCAACCCTGGAGGTGTTTAAAAAAAAAGTAGATCTAGCACTTGAGGCTATGGTGTAGTGGTTAGGTATGCTGGGATAAAGGCTGGACTAGATCTTCAGAGGTCCCTTCCAACCCCTAACATTCTGTGATTCTGTGAAATAGTAGGAAGAAGTTTCCAAGGTTCACGCTCATTTCTCTTTCAGCAGTGAATTAAGTCACTCTAGATGCCCAATTCCTTTGACTGCTCAGAGACCAGGATGCTATTATTATTATTACGCTTTTTAGTGAGGACTGAGGGAAAGTATCCATTAAGCATTTCAGCCTATGCCTTGTTATCATAGTTTTTTCTCCTCCAGTGTTAAGTAGCAGCCCTGCACTTCCATTTGCTGCACTCTTGCTTTTTGTGTACTTAACACTTTTTCTTACTCCTTTAACAACCTTCGCTAATCAGTATCTCATTTTGTGCCTGTGCCTCTTCTGATTTTGCCATTTCATGTCTTCATATTCCCATCTTTTTACCCTTGTTTTTCTCTTAATCTGTTTTCTGCAACTTCCTTTTCACTCACACGCCTTTCAAAAGCCCTTGGTGCAAGTACAATGTATTGATCTTTAACTTTTTCCTATTTTGGTTTTATCTGAGAATATCTGCTGTTGTGCACCAAGTGTTTTGTTCTTCAGAAACTTTCCGAAAGCTTCATCTGGTTTCTTCCACAGGTCTTCTGATCGCAAACCTCATCAAAAGGCTATTTTTTCTTACTTTTCTGCACAGTTGCAAGAGGGCTGCAGGTAGAAAATGCTACTAATTACCTTATTCTGTTTCCATGGAAGGGCTAGTTTCATTTGGAATATGCATAATTTTAATCAGAATTGTAAGGGTGGGCTTTTTATGTTAGTTTTATTTTATTTTTTTTAAACATTGATACAAGTTTAATTTTTGACCAAAACTGCAAGAGAACATATGAGTACCAATCCTGCTCATGGATTACTGAACAGCTGTGACTGAGATTAGCAGGAATTACTCCAGTGGCTTTCTCTCCAGCCAGCTGGATTCTCACATAGCACAGAGAAGCCCAATTTCATCCTGTGGTAAAAAGCTTCTGCACAGGTCTAGAAGTAGCTGGCCAGGTCCCGCATGAGCTATTTGTGTACCACCAAAGGTGATTAAGTATGCAATTAGGACAGAAGTATTTATCTGAAACCATGCAGTATTTAGCTACATTAAGACACACACACACATAAAAAACAGTAAAATCTGCCACTGTGCCACAACTGAAGCTTAGTGTTTTGGGCAGTTTAGCCTTGTGATACAAAGCATTCAAAAACTCATCGCATATGTCATAGCACTGTGCCCTAGATCACCAGTATTTCAGAACAGAAAAGTCTGCAGAGTATCACTTAAATTCAAAGGTATGAAATAAGTGATTCAATGCCAAAAAAAGAAGAGATAATGAGGCACATGACTCACTTGAGCAGTCCTGCCCGGTGGAACACATAAAGCTCATAACCAAACTGGGAAGTGCAGGAAGGGACAACTCGAACAAAACTCTGGATCAGGTGGAAAACTGGTACGTGATGTGGCACCAGGATGACACAGAAGTCTTTGTCCTGAAAAAGATTTGTGGACACTAACAGCTCTTGGTGACCTCAATGTAAGCTTTACACAAAAGCTTCTGACTAGAGGGGCCAGAAAGAAAACACACTGAGTAACACTGTGTTTACAGCGTTTGGCTCACAGAAACAGGTCTTGTAACTCCCACAGTAAAGACTTATTAATTAATATTCTGATATTCTTAAACAGTCCTTTTTCTTAACCCATCCTCCCTCCCTCTTTTTTTAAGGTGTGCATTTGTGTTTGTTTTTTTCTTTAGGTTTGATTTTAAAGGAGTTTGAAACATTCGCTTTCTAAATCTGCATGTCAGAAAAGTTCCTGTGGGACACAGACAAAGAATACATGAAGTCCAAAAGTAGCCTAAGAGAGGAAATCCAACTCCTCCAGGGTAACTCTCCAGAGCGTACTCCTGTGAGTCACTGACTCACTCGAGCATCACATCCAAGTACTCTGGCTGACAATTGCACCACCACCCCATCAGGCACACAAAAGTTAAAATTTTAATTGTACATACTGGAAAAAGCTTGAAGACATAATGCAGAAAATCCAGCGATCTGCAACCAAGGGAAAACATTGTTAAATCAAGCATGTAGCAGACAGATTCTACACATTCTGATATTTACAGACCCGTAAGTGCAAGGAACATTTATTCACAGTGCTAATGAAGTCAGTCCTGCTAGTTCCCCAGGAATCAATTGCAGACCTTGCATGCTGCACATCAGTTGTGGATTTCTAGTGTTTAAAGCATTACTCTTGGCAAAAATAAGCCTGAATGTTTGAAATAATATCAAAACATTAAGCTCTTCACTGAAAGTTTTTAAAAAAGTAACAAACATTGACTCATGTTGTGGACTCCAACACTTCTCAGAAGTCACTGGCAGAGTGCCAGAGCAGCATTAGTACGCAGCAAACAGCTGTTGTTGCTACAGTATTGTCATCCAGTACTGAGTTCTGTCCCAGTCCACTCAGTAAACCCATCCAGTGTATTCTGTAGACTAACAGGAGTATCAATACTTTGTTTTTTAATACTTGACGACTTGCCCCTTCTCGCCTACTGATTTAGAGTAATTCCACTCTCCTTTCCAAGGCAACAGTGAAATGTGAGATTATGAGAAACCTAAAAAACTTTCTGCTTCTCCTATGTGTAAGGATATGAAAGAGCTCTGAACCCTTCCAATAGAATTATGCTGAAGCATTATAAAATATCTTCCCACCGTACAAGATGTGTCTTTTGAAGAAATTCAATACAATTCCTAAAAACATTGATAAAACCCCTCTTCCTCCCAGTTACCTTTAATTACTTCCCCAATAATGTTACTGAAGAGAGAAAATATTTCTAATTAAAATATATATGATTGAATGGGAAGTTAAGAAAGCTTATATAGAGATCTGGGTTGGGGTATTACATATTTAGCTATATACAAAACAATTATGACTAGTTCGTAGAGTAGTTAAACCAGGGAAAGGAAAATGCCGTAGCAGTGTAGTTTCTGTTCTCTTGTACCCAGCACCCTCTCGGCAGCACAGAATACAAGATCAGATTCCGAGATAGTCAGGACTACCTCATGCCATCCATTCAACTTACTTGTTTTTCTAATATTTCTTTTACAAACAGGTGAATCAAGCAAAAGCACAGAAGCAAAATACTTGAAACATCAAAGGTATACAGATTCCTCAGCTCAGAGAGGAGGATCTCACATGAGTTAATCTTGGGAGAAGCCTTCAGAAAGGAAGGCTACCTTCTCCAGAGATACCCATCTTGGAATCCAAACTGTTCCAGAGATGTCTCCAGGGAAAAAAAGAAGGGATTGCAGCACTGAACCATAAACAAGGTGAAAGCATCTTGAACAGAAACACCACTGGTGCATAGGACAGGGTGTCAGAAGGGGGCAAAAAGTGGCAGATCCCTATCCTAAACAGGATACTGCGAGCAGAGAACTCAACTAGTCTACAGAGACATTGTTTTCCAACAGAGGTATACACAACTGATTTGAATTACTATTCCAGTACAATGGAGTCATTCCAGAGCAAGTCCCTTGCCTCAATATAACTTTAAAATGTTATTCTGCAAGAATTATCTTGCTTGAATTTTATTTTAGACTAGACTGTTCATCAACTAACTCTTCTGAGTGGACTCTGCAGTGTGATTGTTTTCTCATATGTACATTGATCAGTGTTTCTAAGCCTAGCACACACTTGTAGCACTGCATTTCTCTCTCCTCCTAATGAGTTTGAGCTCTATTACTCAGTGAATGTGTACCAAGAAGCCCATGTGTTTGCTTTGTTTTGGTAATTTGGGATATTTGAAATTGCAGCAGATGCATTGTTTAATCCCTTTGGGTAGCCCCCCTCCTCAACAAAGAAACAGTTTCAGAAAAAGAATTAGTTTTCAATGACTTCTGATTTTTTTTTCTGCTTAATCGCTCTCATTTACCCCCAGTAGAAAGATGTTTTTTCAAGTGGTACCACAGTGGTCACTCATCATCTGAAAACTGTTACTAAGCTGGGGAAAGCAGTAGCTATTTCATCCAAACTTACCTAGTTTCATGCTTCTCATCAATACAGAACAGACGGATACAGACAGCATTTGGAGCTCCTCGGTACACTGGACAAAATGCACTTTCTCCAGGGTCAGGAAGTGTTGCTGAGGCTTTGAGATCTTTGACATCATCTAACGACAGATCCGTACAGGAAACGATAAGAGCTCCATCTTTCTGCAGTAATGAGAGGCAAGTGATCATTTAAATGAAAGTATTTTTAGAAATGTTTTAATTAACAGGTTCTTGCATTGTTCCTATCTTCTAGCACTCCAAGCAGACTCACAGAGGTGTACTTGTTGCTTATCACACTTGGACAAACACGGAAGTTCAAGAAGATATTTTTTGTGTTATCTGTTTGTGAAACACTAGGTAAAAATAGCCCTTAAAAACACATACATTCTTGCTGAAGAGCAATATATTCACAGACTAATAGTTACCATTAGAGTCCCTTTGTGAGGCGATCAAATATTTATCTTTCAGAAATGTTTTTGTATTAAAAAAGTTGTTTCCAGATGCATATTGAAAATACATGGAAGTTAAAAATGCATCCTCTCCACCTCTCCAGACCCTTGCCAGAGGACACTGCAGGAGAGGAGGTGGTACGTACTGCTTGTCCTTTGCCTCCTGTTAGCATTTCAATTTATCAGCATTGCTGCATACAGCAGTACTACCTGCACAGCTGCATCCTGATCACGAATATGTTCAAAGGCTTGAGATGAAACAGACTCTGGTTTTTCATTTGTTTGATTGCTTTTATCTTCACCTGAGAAATGAAAAAAGAATTAATACATCAGGCTTAAAACCACAAGCTTAACCCTCAGAATCACAGCAATAATACAGCATGCCAGACAACGTCTGTTGACTGGTTTATTTTATTTATTTTTAAGACAGACTCTCCTATAGTTACTTGGCTAGAACTTTATTAGATTTCAAGGTAAAAAAATAATTAATCAGAGAATTGGTTGCAAAACAAGAAGTGAACAAGATAGTCTGGAAGCAATTCTTATTATAAGCAATACATTTTTACCATATCTGATGAGAAAAACATGAGTCATAAGTATCGACGAGTATCTTAAACTCTGTGCTTGTCACTAACTTGTTTTCTGCTGAACACAAGGATAAGCAAGGGCTCTTGATTCTCAGATCAATTCTCCTAAAAGAACTGAAATTCAGAATAAGCCCTACTCAAGCCAGAACCCTTAGTTACTGGTGCAAGCAGGGACCAAGAAACAAGATTTAAATTCCTTTCTCACTTGCTAAACCCAACTGGCTCTCTAAACCCCATTTTACTTCTTATGAAGGGAGGCTGCTGTTTCCATCCCTCTTTATCGATATGTCTTTTCCCTCCTCTTTCTCTAAGAATTTCTCTCTGCAGTAACCAGTTCCTAAATCTGCATAATGATGCATTGTTTTCTTTAAAGTCAGTGGAAGGTGAGGGTATTCTGATGCAGAAATCATCTGATAATGCATCATAAAGGTCACATTTCAAGTTAATGTTATAGACTAAAATTATTTTAATCATCAACTTGAAAAAGCAACATAGAAATACTAGCAAATCCTAAGTATGCAATCCAAATAACAACCAAAATTACTAAAACAAAGCATCAGCTGCTGTTATTTTTAGTCCCTGAACATATCTTCAATAGTTCTGCCATTCCTTGAATTATCACCTCCATTATTTTACCAGTATGTTCACAGTTTGGTTTTCTATTTAAAATTAAAGCCTGAAAATAAGTTTTACCTAATAAACTCTTGAGGTGTAAGCAATCGCTGCTGCAGAGAACACATCAGGCCAGCAGGCCCTTGCATTCGAAAGCCCCAGTAACACAAAGAAGATAAAGTTTCTGAGCTCCAGGACACACAAAAAACAACTTCAGAAAACCCAGCACAAAAAAACGTCTTCACTTCTGTCTCTGAACTTTACCTTGAGAAACAGATTTAAGCCACATTCACTGACATAAGCTTTTCTTCAGTAATAAGGGTTTTTTAAAAAAAATACTTTAAAATAATTTAGCCAAAAGTATTTTTAAAAAACAGTTACCTGAAAATCTATTTCTGTGTTAGTAGAAAAGAATGTAGATGCAACGTGCAGGGCAAGAAGAAACACGAGGGTTAGAAATCACGGCTTCTCCAGGGGTATCACAGATGTGAGACTTCACAGAAATGATCAAATGTCATCTTGATTAACCCAGCTACATTTCTCATTATAAACAGCCTTGCAGGTGTCAGAAGTTAATTAATACAAGCCTCTTGTTGTCATGTAAATATTGATATGTTGCTTCTGACTTAACACTACAATGAAATCCCTTAATGGCTCCACCATCCACTACCTTCAAATGTAGCCACGTCACTGTTACACAGACACTGCATATGAGCGGCTGGCAAAAACATAAATATTGCTGCACTGAGCGAAGTAAGGCACATCAGCAAAGAGCGAATTAAAATAATTCTGTGATTGCTGGGTCGTTAGCAGAGGTAGCAGTCAGCAGGATCAAGAAGCTGGTTCACCATGAAGCCTGATGAAAAGCCCTTGAGTCATTCCCACTGCACCATGTTTTCTAGCTGCTAATTCGTGACACCATATAGAGCAACAACCAAATTACTGTAATTACCCCAAAACCTAAGTGGCATATCAATACTGTGTTAAAGACAGATTTTTTTGTATACTCTTTCATTATTATTCGGTATTACATTTTCAAAGGAAAAACAGTATCAACCTGTGGTCTCTGCTTAAGAGCTAAAGAGCTTGGAAAAATATCTTATGTTTTGAGGGTTTTTTTTTAATGAGAGAAAACAAAATTATAAAGCCATGTGGTTTGCATTTTAAATTCTCAGCCTTTGAATTTATTAAAAGGAAGACCACATCCTCTATTGATGGAAGGTGGCTAGTGAACCTTCACACCAAGGCACAATCTGGCAGCAAATTTCCAATGCAGTAGCCAGCAGAAACAGTGCGATCATTAATGCAGCATTCCTATAATTAATTGGGTTATGCAATATAATCAAATATAAGCTATGTGACCGACATTATAATAAATTCCAATGATACAGGCTGGCCCTTATATTGGAAAGGCTTAACAAAGGACTACTGGGATGCCACTCTCATGGGCTCTACATTTACAAGAAAACAAGTTATTTCTCTCTGCAAATTACATTTCTAACAAAATGCAAAAGTCAGAGCAGAGGAACTAGCCTTATGAATGGGTTGGGATTTTTTTTGCCGTACAGCAATTCTATTGCTGAAAATTAGTAGATAGCAAAATGTTGCCCTTCTACACAAAAATGTCTTTTGATACTGAAGAAAAAAAGAGGACAACTCTGAGTCATTTAACATGACACTTCTGTTCTACAAACAGGTGACATATGTTGCTGTGTATTATCATTTGCAGTAAGGTGGCTTGTAGATGCATTGTTGTATCATGCCCTATATAAAAATAAACAAAATCTTGTATGCCAGAGGATTGCAAACAATAAGCAAAGAGAGAAGCTGGACCACAAGAAAGTAAGACAATAAGACAAGGTAATAGCCACAGTTAACCAGCAGCTTAGCTACTGACAGACATTATTAGAACCAGATTTCAAAATAAGTCTTCAATTAATAGTACAACGCTAGCTAACTGAGAATATACCTGATGCTTTTGCCTTCTGAAAGTTGAAACCCAGGTTTCTGCCGCCCATGCTATAGGCCAGAACCCCACAAACAATCACTTCCAAGTCAGAGATCGGGGATATCAAAGTTTCTTTCCTGAATTAAAAAACCACCAGACAATCAACTCCAAACCAGGGAAGTTTATTTGTGTTTTCTTGCTAGGCGACCTACATCTTCTTCCAACCTTTCACAAAACCTACTGAGAAGCTAGAAATGAATGCATCTCGAATCTGTCTAGCATTCTGGTACATAGATACCTTCTGGAACGCTTGACTTCTGGGGCATTTTGAGAATATCTTCAGGATGTGGTTTACAGAGTCCATGGAAAGGCCTCAAGTCAAAATACTCTTGCAACAAGGAAACATTTACTTGAGAACATAAGCTCATGAATCCTACTACAGCATCACCAGCCTGAAATATAAAAGCAATGTCACATATATGTAAAAGTTGAGGACATGATTTTAAATCAGGACAAAAAATTCAACAACAACAAGAAAAAAACAATTTTGAAACATAAAAGTTAGTGTTCCATCTCTGGCTGTGCATACCAGAAAGTATAAAGGAGCTATTTTTTGCAAAGTTAGAGATTTTTTTTCCTTGTAATGGTTGTATTAGGATCTCTATATTAAATGTTATAGTTCTTTTATTAGCTGTGACTTGCAAAAGCATTGTGATGATATATGGACCAAATAATGACCTATCGTTTCAGTAAAACATTTGTTAAAGTAAAAAAAAAAAAAAAAAATCTATCTTTTAAATACATACCTCCAAAAAGGTATATTTTTTTCTTTAACTTAAAGTGTAGCTAAAGTAAAATCTGAATTTAGCTAGTCATAATGGTTGACTAGTTTGTAGATAAAATTGTGCATAAATTAAATGATTAATTCAAGACAGCACTTATATAGTATATAAACGATATCCAATGCAGTATATGGTATGTATTATTTGCAGCAATTATAAGTGCTAAGTACTTACAAGTTCTGAAAAAAAAATAATTTAGAACCAGTGTTTAAAAAAAATAATTAAAAATGCCCTGGCAAGTATGAAAATGGCAAGCTCCTTGCAATGCTGAAATGGCACATGACTCTCTATATCTATTACTGAAAGTTTCCAGAAAGCTGCAGCCTTCAGAAAGAAATACACTCTGCAAAGTGAGAATTGGCATACTGAAGGTTTTTTAGCTTTAATCTAAGATGAGCCTACAAGAAGGAAGCTGTATAATTTTTAGTACTATACATAACTTTTGCGGTGAAACACACAAAACCATTTTTTTCTTAATAACACATAATGAAAGCCTCCTTTCTAAACATAAAGAAAACTGAATGGCCAGATTTGTAGAGCTGTTTTATCAGGCCATCAGCAAAAAAAAAAAAAAAAAAAAAGAAAACGAAAAAGTTTAATTCCCCCCCAACAACAAGTGATTGTTTGTTTGCCTTGTTTGCGTAACCAAACAAAAGCTGGGTCGCTGCAGTTGTCTGGCTGCGATGTAATTGTAGGCCCAAGGCTCAGCAGAGGCTGATTAACCAATCCATCTACCATATGTGCAAAAAGAGGTTGCCAGCTTCACTCTCTGCAGGGAAAATTGGCATCTATCTCGGTTTGCAGGGAGGTGTCTTTCCAATCTGCAGCAGCAGCGGCAAGCATAAGCTACCAGGGCCTGAAACACTTTTTGCTGGTTTCACATGGAGCCATAAATGTACAACCAAGATGTATTATTTATAAAGATAGCCATGTGCAACATCCTATTACGCTCATGGTTTATTGTTTCCCATTTGGCTTCCAATGGTAGTGATTACATATTAAGGTATTATAAAATCATTTGCTATAGAAAGCAGACTTTTAGAATTAAATAGGTTATGTTGCCTATCAGCTTAAAATACTACATGCAATTACAAACGTGAAAATCTTAACAGGAATTTTCAGCAGGATAACTATTACCCAGCTCTTTCTTATTTAAATTAATTCCTGGGTTTCCATCTTTAACTCGGCAAAAATCTGACTGCCTGAGCCAGGAGATAGAAGAAATCTACAGCATTTTTAACTGTCAAAGTATTACTGGCCACTAGTTTTCACACATTAAATTAATTTTCACCAGGAATGAAAAACTGCTCATCTATAATGCAAATGTCCAAAACAGCAACATGTTTTTTTCAAGACAGTCTGTTCCAATTGCTTGAGAAGAATCTACACAATTACTGGGAACTGCTCCTTTATTTACTTAACAGGAGACATCACTCCCACAGAAATACACCGAATAGGTGGTAGAGGGCACCGGGTGCATGCGGATCGCGGATTCCGCTTTCCAAATTTTTGTTCTGTTGGTTCACTGAGCTGCAGTGTGAGCTGTCACTCACACATGTGCACCACTAATATTATGATCAGACAAAATCAAGAGCTCACAGCCAACTGACCTCACAAACGACAGCCCGATTTCCTTCATCTTGACATTCTATGACATCAGCAAGGAAATATTCACCGTAAGTTTCTTTCAGAGTCTCACTCTGATGTGTCCAGATTGGCATGAGGTCATCACAATCTTCCAATCTACAAAAAAAAAATAATAAAAATATTAACATCCTAAAGCTCTGACATTACTAGGTCCTGATACTTTTGCCTAAGGCATCTCGGGCCAGGGGGGCTTTAGGGCTTGTATAAAATAATTGTATTCAGTGAGCCCAGTCATCGGTTGGTTAGCTGGCAGAGATCTCAAAGAGCAACACTAGTAGCAATTTAGAAAATCAGTTCTTGTGGGGAAAAAAAAAAAAAAAAGAGAAGAGAAGAGAAGAAAACAAAGAAAATAGTGCCTTTCTGCATGGGAGGAACAGTGCTGGGTATTGGCTAAATAACT